CGTTTGAAGCTTCGGCTTGTCACGCAATCAATTTGGGAATTCACTGGTGGCAGTGGACCTACTGTCTTCAGAGCCTAAAAGAAAAATGCGAAATTTGACCGCTCAATTTTTGAATAACGAGAAGAAACTGCAAACAGTAGAATAAGGAATGTGCGGAGTTTGCAAGAAAGACTTAAACATGTCTTTTCAATCGAGAAGGAAAACAATGAAAAAAAGGAGTTAGTATCGTGCAGAATTGAAAAAAAAAACTATCATAGATAATTCAACTTTTTTTCGAAAAACAACTAAACAACAAAACTTACCTCAATAAACAGTTTTGCACATTTAATGTCAGTGATTAACGGTATCCCATTGTCTATGGCCATTCTTCTAGTCTTATATCCGTGGGTTCTAAAAAAAAACCAGATTGACCAATGAGAAGCGAGATTTTGAGCGGCTATAACATTAGGCCACGCCCTTAAACCTAATCCATTCTCAAAAGAAGGAAACGAGTGTAGCAAATCCTACAAAACAAATGCAAACCTAAAGGCTGAAACACGGTAAGCGCCAGATCCACGAATTGGAAGGTTAATCACAAGATGAAACTCCTTGTTCTCAAAGAATTCTGAGACTGATCTGTAAAGTCAACATTCAAATTCCAAAAAAAAAAATAGCTACAGTATAACATTTTTATGACTCTAAAAACTTAAGGTAAAGCATACGATTACCTTGTTCCCGCTGCCGTTTTCTCGTCAGTCGAACCTTCCTCAAAAGGCCAATCAACAGCTTTAACATCAATATTATTGGACTGGAAGTAGTCAGCTGTTCCCTTTGATCCATAAAGCTCAAAGCCAAGCTTTTGTAGGATTTGAACACTCCTCAGCATTTCAGATTTAGCCTAAATCATTGTAGAGAAAGCTGTTAGTTTTAAGAGTCTAGAATAACTACAGCCTAACTTACATGATATCCACCTATCGACAAAAAGATGTTCTTTTTGGGTACAATAAACCCAGTGGAGAGCAGAGCCTTGAGATATGCTTCTTGGCGATTACTACCAAAGCATCCAACCTGTGTAAGTCATTTTAAGTCAAAGAAGAGAAATCAAACAAGTGATCTATACCTCCCCGGTCGATGCCATCTCCACACCTAACATCACATCAGCACCAGCAAGTCTTGAAAAAGAGAATTGTGGGGCCTAAAATAGTTGTCAAAAGCTTGTTTATCTTAAACCATCCAAAACAATTCACCTTTACACCAACTCGTCCTTTCCCTCTCAAGAGGGCATGCTTCTTCAACGAGGTACCAATTGCGGGATTATCTACTGCCATCATTGCTCGAGTAGCCAAAGCGACAAAATCAAAGTCGAGGGTTTTTGAAACGAACGGAAATGAACGCGAGACTCGCAAGTTACATTCAATGACTTTTAGTTCGTTATCCTAAAAAAACCTAACTTATGAAATTTCAATGTTACAGCTGTATAAGAGGCGGAACCCACAAATTGTCAGGGCATGACTCCTA